TACTGGGGCTAGCTGGGCTTACTGGGGCTGGGGGTTACTGGGGACAGCAGGACTTACTGGGTCTAGCATCACTGCTGGGGTTATCAGAGCTACCAGGGCCAGCAAGGTGCTGCGACATGCTGAGGCTACTGGGGCTGCCTGGGCATACTGGGATACTGCTGGGGCTGCCTGGGCACGCTGGGACTGGTGTGGGGTGAGTGGCTCTGGCCCCAGGGTCCCGCTCGTCCCCGGAAGGTGGTTGGGGCTGAGGCAGCCCACTGCCCAGTTCAGGGGGCTGTGGTCCCTGTCCCCACAATCCCGTCCCAGCAGGCGGGGTGCCGGGGGGGGTTGTTTACAGGAAATCTTTGGCTCTGGCCATGTCTCCGGCACCGGATTGCCGGGACCTCCCGGTTCCGCTCGGGTCGGCGAGGCGACGGGCAGAAGCTGCCTCATTTCCCCTTCCCTCCCGGCCAAGCCCAGGAAGCCCCCGGCGCCTTGGCACCACCCTGCCGTGTCGTGTCCCCCCCCCACCAGATCCCCCCCGCCCCCAACCTGGCTCCCACCACCCTCCTGTTGGCATCAGGGGACCTGCGAGCCCCCACCCTATCCCTCTTGCCGGGAAAACGCATCCCTGGGGGTCCCCCATGCCCAAGCAGGGTGGGGCACGAAGCCAAGAGGCTGGTTTTGGGAAGCGGGGTGGGATTCGGAACCAACCCCGACGTGGGCTTTGCCCCAGGTACGCGCATGCCCCGGCAGCAGAGCCCGGGCCCGCTCGGTGCACGCGTGTCGGCCCAGCAGCGGGTGGGCCGGGTCGTGCCAGGCCATGCGAGCTCTCGCACGCCGATGCCCGCCAGCTCCTGCCCGGCTCCCCGGGAGGGCATTCCCCCACGTCCTCCCTTTGCCAGGCGGGAAGCAAAACGGGCCAGGACCCGTCCCCAATCCCCATCCCCATCCCCGCGGGCGCCCGCCGCAGCTGGGGCTGGTGCGCCGCTGCTGCATCCTCACCCCGAGACGGCACGGCCGCATCCCGACGCAGCACCCGTGCCATCCCCGTGTGCCTGAGGAGCATCCCCCCGCCCCGGGAGCTGGATGCCCACGCAGGGTGGACGACACCAGGGGCTGTCACCCTGGGTAGGGAGGCCGGAGATGCCACCGTCCCCCGGGACCCCGCTTTGGCATCGCGGGGCGGCAGCAGAAGCGTGGAGACAGCCCCGGCGGGCTCGGCGCTTTCGTGGCCCTGGCACGGAGCCCGCCTGGGACGCTGCCCGGCCGGAAAGCCTTGTGCCCCCCTGCTGTGCACCCCCCCTCCCCAAACACCCCTTCCCCCGGCGTCTCCCAGACAATTGTCCCCCCGCGGCGCCCACTCGTCCCCGCCGCCACCGCCTCCCTGCTTGGAGGGGCTGTGCGACGCCGCGGCGGTCCCAAAAAGCTTGGGTTTTGACCCAAATCGCACAGCCTCAGAGTTTGAAGCCACCGAGGGTACAGCGAGTCCTGCTTGCTGTGGGGACGGGGACGCGGCGTTGTGGCACTAGTGTGTGTCCCCCCCGCAGGGGGAAACTGAGGCTGGGGGGGTGGTGGTGGGGGGTGGCATGACCGGGGCAGGCAGGGTGGGCAGAGCCTGGCATGAGGAGCCGGCGTGGGGCAGGCAGGCGCCCGAAGAAAGGAGCCTTTGTGTGGGGTGGGCCGGGGGCGCAAGGGGGGGCTCTGGGCCCCGCTCCAGGCCTGTCGGCGCCAGCGCCGGGCCGGGCCGGGAATGCAGCAGGAATGCGGGGCCTCAGTTCCGCCCCCCCAACCCCAGAGTGCCAGGGCAGCCCCCGCATGGGAGCATCCTCCATGGGCACCCCGAAAGCTGAGGGTGGGCATCTCCCAGGGCGATTTAGGGGGCAGGACCCCCTAGGATGGGATGGGGACACGACATAGCTCGGGTGGCACCGCCACCTCTGCCAGCCACACAGTGTCCCCCAGGGAAGGGCTGATGGCACCGGCGGTTTCCCTTCCAGCAACTGGTGCTCCTACACGGTGACACGGACGGTGTCGTGCCACGTCCAGAATGGCACCTTCCTCCAGAGGGTCTTCCAGGGCTGCCGCTGGCCCCTGGCCTGCAGCGGGGGCAGGTGAGCAGTGCCACCGGGGTCCCTCGGGAGCAGGGACCCGGCATCCCGCCCCAGCACCCTGGGGTGCTCCGTCACCCTGGGGTTTCGGACCCGGGATGGGTCTGAAAGCGCTGCCCTGCTCTGTGCCAGCAGCTACCGCACCGTCGTCCGGCCCATCTACAGGGTGACCTACAAGACGCTCACGGCGCTGGAGTGGAGGTGCTGCCCCGGGCACACCGGGGCCAACTGCGAGGAAGGTGAGAACCACCACCGGCCATGGGAAGGGGGTCTCATCCTGCCCTGGCACTGGGCTTCTGGTCCTCTCCGTAGCCGGGGTGGGGTGGTGTCACCCAGGGGCTGTGCCTGGGCTGTGGCCCCCCGGCCATCAGCATCGCTGCTGGGGATGGGCAGGGTGAGGTGGGGTGGGGAGGGCTGGATGGAGAGGTGGACCCACGTGTGGGTGGGAGGGATGGCTGTTCCTCTCTGTGGGTGGATGGAGGGACGGATAGAGGGATAGAGGGACAGATAGAGGAATGTTCCTCTGTGGGTGGGTGGGTGGATGGATGGAGGGATGGATGTTCCTCTGTGTGGGTGGATGGAGGGATGGATGGAGGGACAGAGGGATGGATGTTCCTCCATGGATGGATAGAGGGATGGATGGATGTTCTTCCATGTGGGCGAATGGGTGGATGGATGGATGTTCCCATGGTTGAGTGGGTGGATGAGTGGATGGATGTTCCCGTGGGTGGGTGGACGGATGGACATTCCTGTGGGTAGATGACTGGCTGGCTGTGTCCATGGATGGATGAATGGATAAGTGAGTAGATGGTTGGCTGGATGTTCCGGTGTCGCTACGTGGATGGATGTCCCTGCATGCGCATGGACGGGTTGGTGGCTGAGTGGGTGGGCGGATAGATGGAAAGAGATTCCTACTGGTGGGCGGGGGG